TCCCCCTGGCAACATGTTGGAAAACAAGAATGTTCAACATGACATGATCACTTACATAGTTGAACCTTCAGCTTATGAGGTGTTGTTTTGTTGCATATTACTGTGGTAGAGAGAAAGAGGAGAATACACAGGGTTGCTAAGTAGCATATAGTCCAGGGAGAACCCGTCTGGTGCCCTCCAGATGTTGTTGGACTACACTTCCCACCATCCATGACCACTGGTCATGCTGGCTAGGGCTGATGGGTGTTGGAGACCAACAAAATCTGGAGGGCACCAGGTGTAGTTTCTACCTTGATTTCTTGCCATCCCAGCTGTTTGCACATTGCTTACTGGATTCCTCCTGGAGCAGAAATCCTTTCCCATGTCAGCTTGGAAGTTGTACACAACTTCAGTAGCAATCTCTGAAACAGAATATTTTCTCTTAGCTGGCTGATGTATAGTTCAGCTATTTGGCACACAGGCACAGCCCCCATATGGTGCTTTTGGGAAATGCATCTTACATATAGATGGAGCTGTGTGCAAGAGAGAGAGAGACAGAGACGGATGGAGACGAAGGGAGGGAGGATGGGTTGGAGGAACTCTCACACACAAGTATTTTGTACAGAAAGCTAGATTGTTCATGGACAGATGTTCACAGATGGGTGCTAACAAAGTACAAAATTGCCATTGCTAAATAAATAGACAAAGATTTATTTTTGGTACTGTAACTCGCCTGCGCTGTAGCTTTTGTAGTGTTGGATTACACAGATTTTACTACTACATGTTGTCTTGCAGCTTTGTCTGTTCAGCTTGTACAAAGCTAGGATCCTGAGATACAGGACCGTGATCTTATTGCAGTGGGCTCCAGGTCACAGTGAAAATGTTACTGAGAACAGTTCCTGTCACTTATTTCCCCCTATCCCCACATGAGAAAGTGGGTTTCCCTGTTGTGCAACCCATGGGTCAACCCTACTGCTCCTGTCTTCTGCTGTCCTTGCTAGTCAGTCCTCTGCCAAAGAACACAGTCCTGGTCTACCAGTTGCCTCCAGGTGCCCAAATATTAATTAGTAGGTATTTTTCTCATCGTTGGCCATGGCAGTCTGTTTAGCCTCCAGCTATCCTGCTGTGGAGCCTCAAAGTTCTCCCCCAGCAGTTCACACCTTCCTGTTTATAACTGCACCTAGTGGCATTTGCATGTTCAAGATACTTCACTCATAGAAGAATATACCTCACCTGATGAGTTGTAGCTGGCCAGGTGAACTGACTGCTGAATAGTGCCGTGCTTGAGGTAGCACTGTGCTGAATTTTCGTGAGGGGAGGAGCTGTAGCTTAGTGCATGGTTTCCCACACTTCGGTCTCCAGCTGTTTTTGGACTACAACTGCCCTCATCCCTAGCTAGCAGGACCAGTGGTCAGAGATGGTGGGAATTGTGGTGCCAAAACAACAGGAGACCCAAGTTTAGGAAACTTGGCTTAGTGGAAGAGGACGCATGTTGCACGCAGAAGGTCCTATGCTGGTGTCTTCTGGTAGGACTGGGAAAAACTCCTGCCTGGAACCCTGGAGAGCCACTGGTAGTCAGAGACAACACTACTGAGCAAGATTGACCAGGACCAGTGGTCTCACTTGGTCATAAGGTGGTTTGATTTTCACTCTCGAAAGTTGTGTGAAGAAAACCTCACCTTCCATTCTTTCATGCATTTGCACTACGCTGACCTCCCCACTGCCTTGCGCCTCCTCCCCTTCCTGACAAGTAGCAGCCATCAGGAGGTCAGAGAAACACCACCACCCACCATGTTATTCACTGTTATTTGTTTCTAAACACAGTTTAGTGACTTGGGCTTACCACATTGCTCAAAGGTCTGTGTGGCAATCCCTAGGACTTGCCTCCAAAATGCCACTGAAGTACAGTGGCACCTCGGGTTATGAACTCCACAAACCCAGAAGTAGGTGTCCCGGGCTGCAAACTTTGCCCCGGGATACGAATGCAATTCCTCTTCCGGGGCCACAGGAGGCCTATGTAGGGAATGCACACCTCGGGTTAAGAACGCTTCAGGTTAAGAACGGACTTCCGGAACGAATTAAGTTCATAACCTGAGGTACCACTGGAGTTCATTCTTACATATGTCTGCGGTGGAGTTTGAGTCTAACAACATCTGGAGCTCCACAGGTTCCCCATCCCTGCTGTAGATGGACTAACTCACTGTAAGGTAGCTTCCAGCGTACCTGTGTATTTCAGACTGACTGAATAACAGTAACTTCCCAAGCCTAAAGTTTCAGCCTCTTTTTTTTAACCTCTTCCTTTCCCACTTCATCAGTGGAAAGAGTTTTGAAGCTGTCAGCTGGGGGCTCATTCTTGAAGGGTGACTAGGTGTTCAGTACTCCCTGCCCTGCCTCCTAGCTGTTGCCAACTTGAAGCAAGGAGAACGAGCCTCTGGTGTTAGTAAAGTGTAGCCGAGGCGGAGAGGTTCAATCATTGCTGGAAGTCGAAGGCCAGAGCTCAAGTTTATCAGAGTCCCCACTTACTGCAAGGGGAGCCCCAGACAGTGGGATGTAGCCTTGGCAAGAGTGAACTATCCAATGGTTTTCTGAATGCCGACTTAGGTGTGGAAACCTGAAAAACACCTGGCAATTGTATGGCGGCATTGTGTTCAGGAACAGTGTTGGCTTGTGTGTGGTGCATACTTTTGCAATGGGTAATGCTGTTATGCTACTATGATAATGAGACTTAAGGGCTTTGGTGTTACCTCTTTGCTGTTCCGTCGTTGACCTACTCATTTGGCAGCTTCTTTCCCTGAGGCATATTGTTGGAGCAGGGCTGCATTACGGCGTACGTCACCCCTGGCTGGTCAGAGAAGAGCTCGTTCTAAGATTCCCAGCTGTGTGTACATGGCCAAAAGCTATTCATGCACAGCTGCTTGTCATCGTCTTGGAGCCTTGCCCAGGCTTCTCTCTGCTCTGCACCTTGCTGTTTCTAGCCACTGCGATTGCATAAGGAAGTTTATAGGATGGTGAGCTGGAGATCTAATTGGGTTGCCTCCTCCACCCGGTTCCTGCTAAAACGAGGGCGGTGTAATGAGAGTGTCATTCAGATTTGCTCCTTATGACACTCTGTCCCCATGTGACCAGGGCAGAGCATCAAATGTGTAGCTACAAGGCTAGGGTGCGGTGGGAACTGTGGGTCTCAGAGACCATTAGCTGAGGCTGTGTGTGTATGTGTACACATGTATATATACCCGTATTTTTCGCCCCATAGGGCGCACCGGCCCATAGGGCGCACCTAGTTTTGGAGGAGGGAAATAAAGGGGAAAAAATTATTTTCCCCCGACCCCAGCCCCCAGAACAGGCTGCTATCCGCAAGCCTAGGGAGCTCGGCGGGAAGTCGCACCGGTCTCCCCAGGCTTGCGGATATCTGCCCAAAGCCCGGGGGCACACCCCAGGCTTCGGGGTGCAGGCAGCTCTCTGCAAGCCTTGGGAGTCCGGTGCGACTTCCCGCCGGGCTCCCACGGCTTGCGGAAAGCTGCCTGAAGCCTGGGGTGCGCTCTGCTGAGCTTTGGGATGCAGGCAGCTCTCCACAAGCCATGGGAGCCCGGCGGGAACTCCCGCAGGCTCCCAAGGCTTGCGGATAGCTTCCTGAAGCCTGGAGAGCGAGAGGGGTCGGTGCGCACTGACCCCTCTCGCTCTCCAGGCTTCAGTGAAAGCCTGCATTCGCCCCGTAGGACCCACACACATTTCCCCTTCATTTTTGAAGGGGGGAAAGTGCATCCTATAGGGCGAAAAATATGGTATGTACACACAGCCTTCTTGAGATAAGTAGTTCTCCTAATTGCAGTGCTTTGCTTTTTTACCATAGAAGTTGTTGTTGTTGTTGTTGTTTGAATTTATATACCTCCCTATTCCCAATGGTCTTCGGGCAGTTCTGGGGGTCTCTGGGCTGTTCAGTGGCATAGTGCTGTTTTCCCCTGAGTTACGGTATCAGCCTTCCCCAACCTGGTGTCCTCCAGATGTTTTGAATAGCAACTTCCACCAGCCCCAGCTAGCATGGCCAATGATGAGGAAAGATGGGAGTTGTAATCCAACAACATCTGGAGGGCACTCAGTTGTTGAACATAATCCGTTCCAGAAGCCTGTTCGGCTTCTGAAATGTTTGACAACCAAGGCCCAGCTTCTGATTGGTTGCAGGAGCTTTCTGCACTCAAGTGGAAGCTGCGTTGGACGTTCAGCTTCCGAAAAAGTTCGAAAACCGGAACACTTACTTCCGGTTTTTCAGTGTTCGGGAGCCAAAATGTTCCAAAATGGAGGCGTCCAGGAGCTGAGGTTTGACTGTATAGGTCAGGGGTCTGCAACCTTTAAGACAAAAAGAGCCACTTGGACCGAAGAAAAAACAACTGGGAGCCGCAAAACCATTGCGACATTTAAAACAGTGGGGAGTGTCGGGACACACAATGCACCTCCTCCCCTCGCTAGTATCTGCCCTGGAGCCGCGGCAAAGGTGTAAAAGAGCCACATGCGGCTCCGGAGCCGCGGGTTGCTGACCCCTGGTATAGGTGTTCAGTTGGTGTACTGGTGGCATGTTGTGTTTATAATAATGATTTGTACAGCATAGCTATATAACAGAATAGCTGTCTGTCTATGAGCCTAGTATGGACACAGAATCTGCTTATATGATTAATTCTCCTTGGAGACAGTGCTCTGTATTTCTGTTTTCCAAAAGTCACATGCAATGATATGTTGGATTGCCAAAGCTACAATACTGGCTCCACGACATTCCACCATCTTCCCTGCCCTTAGGGAATGTCTGAGCTTTACAGAAGATAGTCTGAATACATTTCCCAGGCTGCAGATGGGAAGATAATTGGGGTGTTTGAGTTTTTAGAAGTGTTTGCCTCTCTTATTTCCCATATCTTACCACCAGGAATAATAAAAGATACCTCAGAATTTCGTACTGTACCTGTTTTGTCCAATCTTTTAATCATTCTTTGGAAGCAAGTTTTAACAGGATTTTTCTGTTGTCCTTTCATCAGAAACCTAGGAAGGTCATTCCTCAAGTCGGAGAAGACGCTCAAAATGGCCACCTCCCACCTGGCTGGCAGAGTTATATGTCTCCCCAGGGGCGAAGGTACTACGTGAACACTTTCACCAATGGTAAGCTTCATTTATGTGATCCTTTTATGCATAAATGTTTATCTCCTCTGAATTCTCTAAAAACTTAAGGCAGCTAATAATTTTTACTGAATTAAAAAAAAAATAGCTTCATATTTCTCCAGTTTCTCATTCAGATTCCAATCCTGACACATTTCAGGCCTGGGTTTCTAGTATTTCCTCTTCTGCTCTCAAGTGACCACATAGTCTTAATTTGGATTCTGCAGAACAAAAAGTTCACTTTTGTTCGAGAAGATAACCCCAGGGGATGGAAGTTCATAAAAGTTCAGGAGGTTTTTAGCAAGCAATCATCAACTTGAAATAGCAGTTACTTCTGGGATAGTCAGGACTTGGAGCTGATTTTGATAGATTTTTGCATTCTTGTGGACAGAATGGACATGCTAGCAGTCCCTGGGAACCTTGCCTGGACTGAATAGTGGCACCTTCTCTCCATGCATCTACATTCCTCTGTTCTTTGTAGACATAGGAGCAGTCTGTCCTCTTCCTTGTCCTTCTCCACCACCACCTCCTCCTCCTTCATTTCCATACTGCCATGTCCACGTCCACCTCCTCCTCCTCCTTCTCAGCCCCCACCCCCATGGTAGATGCATCCACCACTTGGGGGAAATGAGCCAAAACTCCAAAGGAGGGTGTGGGCGAATGGACCAGAGCCAGGAATTTAGTGGGATAAGTTTTGGTGATACCGTATCCCAGGTTTTTGGAATAAGCAACTTTGGATTCTGACCTGGCATCCACATTACAAATTAGCAGAATGACAGACAAATGGGCTCGCTTAAATCAAAGGTTTCACTTCACTTGGCCCCCAAACCTGGGCCTTGTTAAGGTATGTCTGTGGGAACTTTGAGTGTTGGTATTTCCTCTGGGACGGTGTCTCAACACTGTGGGCAGTGCTCTGTGCAAGTTACTTTGAGTGTGTGTGTTTCATTGCTGCCTTTGGGCATTTATGGGTTGGGAATTCATTCCATCCTCAGAAGGGACAAGACTATGGGCTGGAATAGCCCTAATCACATGGAAGTACCAAATAAATAACACTACAGGCCATGGACCTGAAATAATCATTAAAAAGTCTGTGGGGCTGTGATGTTTTGCAACCATGGGTGTACTTTTGAAATATGGCCTGCCGCTTTTAAAATAAAGGACGTTTGGAAACTTTGACTTCCCCCAAGCATCAGCGCAGGAAATCCGTAATGCCTTACGTGTCCATTCAGGGGGTTTTCTTTGTGGTTTAGCTAAATCTTCATCAGACCAGAAGTGACTGTCTGACGGGCTGATCCTTTGCTATGGAAATGTGCATCAGACAGAAGCAGGATTTAAAACTGTGTTGCAACAGGATGCAAACCCACCTCACCTGCCCGCCCCCAACTCTGGTTGGGCTTGTTTGCCACACATTCCATGAAGAATTAATATCGCCCAAATAGTGAGAATTTCTGCTTCGAGCTGTGCCCTTAGCAGCTGCTCCCATTTTCCAAATGTGTAGTGCCTGGGATTGCATCCTACAGGGCGGGAGATGACAGCTAAATTAGGTTTTGAATTTTACAGGAGCCCATGGCAAATTATTTATGTTCAGACAATAAAGCTCTCCTTCTAATTGACAGTTCAGCTTGCATTGTAGCATGTCCCCTTCTCCCCAAACTTTCACAACCAACTAATGTAAAGTAGACGCTCTTGTATTACTTGTATTGAGCCACGTGGTTTCTGCTTCTTTTTAGGATCAGATACATAGCCAAATAATCCATTTGTCTTTTGGTGACACCTCACATTCCACAAGGGCTCTGATCTCTTAGCCTAATGCTTTCTAGGCATTAATGAATTGCAACTTCTGTTCCAGGCTTTTTGTTATTCTTTGTCATCAAACATAGGCGGGCATGGAACCAAAGTTTTGTTTTCGTTTTCGGTAGAAAAGATTTCCTTTTAAGCAAGCAAGTTAAATGTTGTGCTGTAATGTATTTATTTGTTATTCTTACACCCGCCCTTCCTCCTGCAGGAGCTAGGTATGAGGTAATAGGGTACCTGTCCCAGGTGCAAGCCAGATCGAGAATGAAAAGTAGCCATCAAAGAACATGATGACAGTAATTAGAATTGCATTACGTATGGGACAGCTGCATTTCCTGCACTGCAGGGGGTTGGACTAGATGATCCTCAGGGTCCCTTCCAACTCTGCAATTCTATGATTCCATGATTTTCAGCATGGAAATAATGAATAGATTTTCAGAGCAGTAGAAGAAAAGATGTCACCTTACTTGGAGGCTTAGTGGGGGCAGCTGGACAAGCTGAGCAGCACTGCGGCAGATTCTTATTACTCCTGCTGAACTCAGCAAATCAAATTCAGCCCTTGAGTAGTCTTACCTGAGAAGGAGAAAACAGGGGGGATGTGATCCTGGCCATCTGCTGCAAATCTGATCGTAACAGTCAGCATTTCTTCATTTATTTTACTTTTTTGAACAGCAGCTCTGAGCAAGAGCAGCCTACCTGAGCAGTAACAACTAGGGAATTACAGCAGCAGTGCCCTTGAGGGTCTACAAACCTGCCTTAGATATTAGCAAACTTTCATTTCTCCCAGATGACCCTGTATTGCTAGTTATAAACATAGCTAAAGCACTAATGAGTGCAAAGAAGGATTGTTAATATACACTGAAGTACTGTGTACAATTCTTTCTCCGATTCTATATTAACTGACGAAGCCAATGGCCCTTTTCAAATTTGTTTGAATATACTATGCAAATTGAACACAGTTTAATCCTAGAACACTGCATATGGGGAGGAGAGCAGGGGATCATTCTGTCCGGCAAGCTGAAATGTTTGTGCAGACAAAACATTTGTCACAGTGTGATGTTGAATGTTACCCAACACAATGCTGAGTGGCACGGTGCGAAAAACCCTTTGAGCACTAAGAAAAAGTGTGATATAAATACCAAACTTATTTTATTATTTACTGTTGTAGCTGGGCTGTGGAGGCATCAGATTCCAGAAGCCGTTCAGCTGGGGATCTAATGCTTAGCGTTCCTCATGGCCCTGCAAGAGGATGACTGCAACCCCATTTACTGCTATCACCTGTTTGAAAGCAGAGTATAACCCCCATACAGGCAACTGAAATTAGCAAATTAGCTAAGATGTACAAATCAAAGTCTAAAATGTGCTGGAAATGTAAAGAAAGAGAGAGTATTTTTTATTGTATGGGGTGCTCATGTGAGATGATAAAAGCCTTCTGGGAAATGATATATAATGAACTGGAAAAAATGTTGAAAACCACTTTTCCTAAGAAACCAGAAGCTTTTCTTTTGGGTATTATAGAACCAGAGATCCCAAAGGACCAGACAAAACTATTTACGTACACGACCATGGTTGCACAGACTCTCTTAGCTCAGAAATGGAAAAATGGTACAACTTCGACCAAAGAAGAGTGGCAAACAAAATTGATGAACTATGCTGAGATGGCAAAACTTACCATGAAAATGAGGTCTTTAATAAAGAATGGGGGAAAGTTTATAATTTATTTGAAAAGCTATTGCAAACAACTACAGTGGACACTCGGGTTGTGAACGTGATCCGTGCGGGAAGCAGGTTCACAACCCACAGCCCGCAGCGCTGCGTCTGCGCACATGCGGGTTGTAATTCGGTGCTTCTGCATATGCGATTTAGCGCTTCTCAGATATATGGCAGACCTGCTTCTGATATACCCAGCATCCTTTGATGGGCTTATTGATCGATTCAAAAACTGTAAGTCCAGGGCTTAGACTTAAGGTGAGACTTTTATTGGATTTGGGTACAGCATGGATTCCCATCCCACCCCACCCATGCTCACATTCTTGTGAAGACATCACCTTCTAAGAGGTTTTATTTGGTTATAACCTGTAATTATTATTATTTTTTTTAAAAGTGATTCAGTCCGAAATTTAATTGAGACTTTCTGTTTGTGATGAGGAACAGAGAAAATCAAAACTGCAAAGAGCAAAGAGCATCACACTTGATAAAAATTTCTTTGTCAAAGAATTCTGAAACAGAGGTGTTGACATTCGAAACAAAAATCATCAACAGAAAAAAGAAGCACTGTGATTTTTGGAATGTGCTGCAACAAACACCCTTATGAAAGTTCTCAGTTGCCTCCTTCACTCTCGCATTTTTTGAGGTAAACTTCTTTTCTTTTCATAACAAACGTGTACTGTACTTTCTCCAGATTTCCAATTTCCAGCCATAGCTAGGCATTCCATTTGCCAGTTCGCTGTATATTGACACGAATGCAGGTGCTGAAAGAGGAGAGTGGACAGATTATTATTATTATTATTATTATTATTATTATTATTTATTTGTACCCCGCCCATCTGGCTGGGTTTCCCCAGCCACTCACATTATACATAAAATAAGCTCCATACACATTAGCTGCTTCAGTGATGTCATCCCCCCCTCTCCCCTCACGCTGCTCTACACCCCAGAGTGGTGAAGACGTCTTCACCTGATCTGTATTACCTGCTGGGTTTCCCTGCAACTGCAGCCCCCCTGAACTTTTCTTCATGAAGCTTCCATCTGCACATACATAACGGCAATCTCAAAAACCTCAGTTTAACCAAAGTTTATGTTTTCAAATCGCATGGAAGCTGTTTTGAAGGAAAACATCAGGCAGAAGTATTCCTCCAGAGACGACAGGATAGATATGGATTGTGGCTAATGTCATGTATGCATAGCTCCAGTGTGCTTCCTGAGAACATTTTTCTGATGAAACTTGAACTTTTGAGGTGTGTTTTTTTAATATAGATTTTAATGAGGAAAAGCAAGTTGGGGTTCCCAGCAATAACAAATTGATACTTTCCCTCTCCCGCACCTGTCCTCTCTCCTCTGTTTCCCCGTTATGAGTTCCTGTAGATTAAAACTTAAAAGTTTGGCAAACTAAGCCAGGAATTCAACAAACACCCACAGCATGGTAGCCACTTGCGGATTTACCTTTACCATGTGACCAAGTGGAGAGCTTTTGGCCTCACATTTAATGG